ACCTAATATTAGTGTTCAACCTCAAATTAGCCCTAAAACTTAATATTAGTGGTATACATCTAACTTAGCTTTAATACTAAGTCAGAGCCTTGACCGGTGGGTGGTTCAGACCATTTACAGGGTTTAGAGTGGGTAGAACATTGACCTTTTACCATGGGGACTGGTTGGTAGGAAGTTGCAGTTATTCGTGGAAGCGGGTACCTTACCCGGGGTACAGGTAAAGGGAAGGGGGCGTGGCTAGGGTAGGGAATTCCTTTTAATTTAGTAAGTAGAGTGGGTTTGGATTTATCTGGCAGTTATTAGACCTTGGGGAGTCGAGGTGCAGGACATTTGGTAGGTTTCCAGGTGTTTTTTGGAGTTTTTTGGAGTTTTGGGTTAGTTGGGGGCGGAGTTGGAGGGGTGTGGTGAACTGGTTGAACCAGACACCACGTTAGGGGTGGACCGTGGTTTCCCTTAGGTAGGGTGCAGGAGTATGCTTTAGTGGGGGGTAAAGTAGGGATTCCTGGGGTCGTGCGGTGTATGGGGCACAGGAAGTTTATTTGATAGGCAGAATGGCCCAGAATTCAATCCTGATTGCTCCGACCAGAGCTACCTAGCGGTGTTAACAACTGGTCGGATCGGCGATATATTGGGTGCTTCTGGATAGGAGGATGAGGGAGGTACGTATCGGTCCAAACAGATCGGTACGGTAAATCCTTTTCCATCATGGATAGGCAACATCGTAACTTATCTGTGAGGGATAGATATAATTGGATATCCAGACCTTTTGAGTGGTACGTGCGTATATTTAATACGTACATCCAGACTTATTGACGTTTACTTGCGTATATCTAATACGTACATCCATACTTATTGAGGTTGCACTTGCGTATATCTCATACGTATATCCAGACTTATTGAAGCTGCACTTGCGTGTATTAATGCGTAGATCAGTCTTATTGTAGTCCTACTTGCGATATATCTAATACTTATCAGGACACACCCTGGGGATTGATCAACCCCGGCGGGGCCTTCCTTGGGGGAGGGTGTCTAGTGATAATGGCCGAAACACCCGAGGATCCCAAGGTCCACTACTGACGATGTGTCCCAATATAGGACGTTGAGTAATCCTAAGTAGTATAACAAATTGAAGGCTAACTGGCAGCCTAGCCTGTGGTCTGTCTCTCTTTTTACAACGGGCCTTAGCCTGCATTTAGTATTTGGGATACATGGTAAAGCGTATTCTCGTTTAGTCGGGCATTCCGAACTGGTATAGGCATTTACAAATAGGGCTATCTGCTCCCAGTCATTTCCAGTCGAGTTTGGATTTAGAATGGTAATGCTATTGGCCAGCTGGGTTGGTCTCACTCAGACGGCGGCAGGTACCATTCGGGTGGGGGGGCATAGTGGGGGAGGACTTCTGCGACATGCGCCGGCCAGTGCTTTCCGATGGCTCTCCATTTCAACTGTGTTCTCGTTAGAGGCACGGGGGGAGTCATTGCGTTATTAACTTCACCCTAACCCGCCAGTGCCTTCGGACAGCGGGTCCTCTTTTGAAACTACGATTGCCCCATATGAGAAAAAGTTGGGGTGGGGTTCTTGGTTGTATTTGGATTTAGGTCGGATAGGTGAGGGTGATCTTTACACCCGGGGGTCCCATGGCCCACTATGGAAGTTTGGTTCCTTTGTTGGGGGGTTTCTTCTTTCTTCCTACTTTTCTTTGACTGTTGCTCCCCTCTCGCTCTGTCCCATTGGGTTAAGAGGGAGCGGGGAGTATAGGGTTGCATAGTGGTGCAAGGCTGTATAGTTGAGACACAATCCTGTTTCCTACAGTTGTCCCTATTTCCTACTTTTTGACTATCCTTCTTTGGGTTCGGGGTTCTTAGTATAGTCATTTGGAGCTTTGGGGGAAAGACATTGGAATTTCACAGGAAGAGGTTATCCTGGGTTTGTAGATTCTAAGAAGGAACAGCGGTCCTAATTGGATAATTTTTAGGTTTATTCTGAGCCAGGCTTTACCCTTGGCCTTGCTATTGCCCTAACCATAACAATTTCTTGCTTGATAGAGGATACACGCCGACTCCCAGAGAAGGAAGGGTTTTACATGGGGCTTTTCTTATATGGTCTGAGCTCTAACATCGGTTTTGGTCTTGGCATGTATCTTTAACATTAGTCCTAAACATTAAATTATTCCTAAATCTTAAATTAGTTTCAAACATTTAAAGTAGCCCTGACCCTAAAAGTTAGCCCTAAACTTAACATTAGCCTTTAATCTTAAAATTAGTCTTAAATATGTAAAATAGCCCTAACCTTAAAATTAACCCTAAACCTAACATCAGTTTTAAACCCTAAAATTAGTCTTAAACAATTAAAGTAGCCCTAAAACCTAATATTAGTGTTCAACCTCAAATTAGCCCTAAAACTTAATATTAGTGGTATACATCTAACTTAGCTTTAATACTAAGTCAGAGCCTTGACCGGTGGGTGGTTCAGACCATTTACAGGGTTTAGAGTGGGTAGAACATTGACCTTTTACCATGGGGACTGGTTGGTAGGAAGTTGCAGTTATTCGTGGAAGCGGGTACCTTACCCGGGGTACAGGTAAAGGGAAGGGGGCGTGGCTAGGGTAGGGAATTCCTTTTAATTTAGTAAGTAGAGTGGGTTTGGATTTATCTGGCAGTTATTAGACCTTGGGGAGTCGAGGTGCAGGACATTTGGTAGGTTTCCAGGTGTTTTTTGGAGTTTTTTGGAGTTTTGGGTTAGTTGGGGGCGGAGTTGGAGGGGTGTGGTGAACTGGTTGAACCAGACACCACGTTAGGGGTGGACCGTGGTTTCCCTTAGGTAGGGTGCAGGAGTATGCTTTAGTGGGGGGTAAAGTAGGGATTCCTGGGGTCGTGCGGTGTATGGGGCACAGGAAGTTTATTTGATAGGCAGAATGGCCCAGAATTCAATCCTGATTGCTCCGACCAGAGCTACCTAGCGGTGTTAACAACTGGTCGGATCGGCGATATATTGGGTGCTTCTGGATAGGAGGATGAGGGAGGTACGTATCGGTCCAAACAGATCGGTACGGTAAATCCTTTTCCATCATGGATAGGCAACATCGTAACTTATCTGTGAGGGATAGATATAATTGGATATCCAGACCTTTTGAGTGGTACGTGCGTATATTTAATACGTACATCCAGACTTATTGACGTTTACTTGCGTATATCTAATACGTACATCCATACTTATTGAGGTTGCACTTGCGTATATCTCATACGTATATCCAGACTTATTGAAGCTGCACTTGCGTGTATTAATGCGTAGATCAGTCTTATTGTAGTCCTACTTGCGATATATCTAATACTTATCAGGACACACCCTGGGGATTGATCAACCCCGGCGGGGCCTTCCTTGGGGGAGGGTGTCTAGTGATAATGGCCGAAACACCCGAGGATCCCAAGGTCCACTACTGACGATGTGTCCCAATATAGGACGTTGAGTAATCCTAAGTAGTATAACAAATTGAAGGCTAACTGGCAGCCTAGCCTGTGGTCTGTCTCTCTTTTTACAACGGGCCTTAGCCTGCATTTAGTATTTGGGATACATGGTAAAGCGTATTCTCGTTTAGTCGGGCATTCCGAACTGGTATAGGCATTTACAAATAGGGCTATCTGCTCCCAGTCATTTCCAGTCGAGTTTGGATTTAGAATGGTAATGCTATTGGCCAGCTGGGTTGGTCTCACTCAGACGGCGGCAGGTACCATTCGGGTGGGGGGGCATAGTGGGGGAGGACTTCTGCGACATGCGCCGGCCAGTGCTTTCCGATGGCTCTCCATTTCAACTGTGTTCTCGTTAGAGGCACGGGGGGAGTCATTGCGTTATTAACTTCACCCTAACCCTAACCCTAACCCTAACCCTAACCCTAACCCTAACCCTAACCCTAACCCTAACCCTAACCCTAATCCCAGCCTCAAAACCCTAGCCTTACCTTATTCCGTGTTGAGGGAGCTCCACGAAGTCCATGAAATCCTAAGGGAAAAGGAAAAAAGTCCAGAATTAAAGTACACATAGCCACATTTAAGCACGATTAGACGGCATAAAAGTACTGGAAATATTGAATCACAAAATGTGAACACATACAGGTTAAAGGAAAAGAATGAGAGTTGGGTGATGGGAAAGGAAAGAATAAAGGAAAGAGGACATACGGTTACACGATAACAATTATAAATAAATGGGAATACGGAATTTGGACAAAAGTAACAGGACACGAATGTTCGGAGAGCAGGAGGAGCCTATAAAAGGCAGGAACAGACAGGAACAAAAATCAGTTTGGCACGAACCTCTGAGGGAGCAACCTCTCCTCACTGTAACCCATATAGGGGATATACTTACCTGCATGCTGTGGCCTTAAGCCTGAGGAAGTCCCAAGAAGCGGACGAAACGTCGCGGCCAGCGCCACCTATAGACATGCAGAAGAAAAACACTGGTTAACCGACAAGGGAGGGAATTACAAGAGCCAAACCATTATACTTCATATAACAAAGGCGAACCTGTCTAACATGATCTAAATAGTAGATTATACAAACCCATACCTGGAAGATGGCGACGGAGGACTGGACGTCCCTGATGATGGCCCGTGCACTGTTGGGATCCACTTCGGTGGGTCCCAGCTCCTAGTTCTCACCTAACTTAGCCAGCGCCTCCTTGGACATATGTCTGGTCCTCCCACCCATGTTAAGCTATGCTAAGCTAACCCTAAGTCCCTGCTCTACCCCAATTTAACATCAGTCCCAATTTGTCACTCTGATTCCCATTAATTGGCCTATCCCCTAGCCCATTTTGTGGCCCTAAACCTAAGGTCCTACAACCCTAATTAAGTCCCAACCCCAAAATCCCAGCCTCAAAACCCTAGCCTTACCTTATTCCG